ATATATATATATATATATATATATATATATATATATATATATATATATATATATATATATATATATATATATATATATATATATATATATATATATATATATATATATATATATATATATATATATATATATATATATATATATATATATATATATATATATATATATATATATATATATATATATATATATATATATATATATATATATATATATATATATATATATATATATATATATATATATATATATATATATATATATATATATATATATATATATATATATATATATATATATATATATATATATATATATATATATATATATATATATATATATATATATATATATATATATATATATATATATATATATATATATATATATATATATATATATATATATATATATATATATATATATATATATATATATATATATATATATATATATATATATATATATATATATATATATACATACATACAGTTGCGCCGATTCATTTTATGATTCCTTTATAAAAATTAAAATACCAACGTGTCTCATGATTGTACGTACGTTAACGGGCATCGTATTAATCTTAAATAAAAAAAATAGCAATAATTTATCAACACAAAGACCACAAATAACAACGAATGTTAATCAACATGTTTAAGCATCTGTTAAACGTAGCATTCGTTACGAGTAACGAATCGTGCGAATACATAGGTACATAATAATATATGTCCATGAGTTTGAACAAGTTTCATTATCACTAACCGTAACACAAACTAAATCTTTTGACACGGATCGTTATACCCAATAACTTATCAAGTTGTTTGAACAAGGTTTCAATTAACCTGCATACAGAAGAACGACATGCGATGTGAAACTGGGATGAAATAAAAATAAGTAAAGGGAGTAGAAAGGAAGAAAAACGGTCGAGAGGTAGAGAGCAAAGAGCAAGAGAGCAAGAGAGCAAGAGAGAGTGTGTGTGAGAGAGAGAGTGAGGAGGAGAGAAAAGAGAGAGAGAGAGAAGAGAGAGAGAGGAGGAGAGAAAGGAGAGCGAAGGTGATCGAACAGAGAAAAGAGAGCAACGAGATTCAATTCATTCTATAAATTTTGGAATAAACATGTCTCTAGCCTGCACACGATCTCTTGTAGAAATAAAAATCACAGAACTCTTGCGATTTATAAAGAGAAAGAGATAATGAATAATTCATACGTCTCATATGAACAAACATTTTACTTTACGCGTACGTTGTGCTTTGACAAGCGCCCTTCTGCGCAAGATTAGTTTCGAATATCTCGTCTTATTCGTAGTCCTTTAGACCAATCGATCATCGGAAACTAAATCACAAATATTGATGCGCGATACGCAGCACCGCACGACACACCTGTACGTTTAATTGAATTCAGTTGAAAATGCACCAAATGTTTGGAACGATTTTCTATTTTTGGCTTCTATTTTTAGTTGATCTTGCATCGTTGTCCCTTTCCTCTTTTCTCAGTCTTCTTCCTTCTTCCATTTGTCTGCCTCATTTTCTACCCCATACTCATTCTCCTTCATCTTCCTTTTCCTTATGATGTATACTATTCTTCTACTCTTCCCTCTGTTGTTATTGCTGCTGCTAATGCTGATGTTAGCCATCCTGCTGTCCCTCCACTTCCTTCTCTTCCTCCTCCTTCTCCTCGTCTTCCTCCACCTCCTCCTGTTCCTTCTCTTCCTACGTCTCCTCCACCTTGTTCGATACTTTAATTCCGATTTTTTAATATCATTCCGTTCTATCTTTCACCGCTATCAAAGCACACCCCCCTAACCATTCTTGTATCGATCGAACATATACCATAAAAAAGCATCCGTTCCCGATAATATTCAAAATATATTTGAACGAACCTCCTCCTAAGTCAGACGTATCCATGTTGTCAATCCCGTTGTCACACATATACTACATTAACAACTACTCCGAAGTCCGGCAGCGTTTGTTGGAATCGCCCCTCCCTCTAACTCTTCTCTTCTCATCTCTCGCGCATCGCGCCCGCTGAATCGTGCCGCGGTCAAAATGCGAAATCGTCATCGCGCTAATCGTCGTTATGGCTTCCTTGAAAATTGAACGTCGTACCGTATATATTCTATTCCGACCCAATCAAGCATTTTGCATTACTTATTCCCTTCAAATTTATTCCTCCAGTCGCACACGTCGCATACACACACTCGCACGCGTCGATTCTTTTCTCATTGATTATTTTAAAAGCAGCATTACGATATTCTGGGAAATAAACTAACTAACAAACGGATTGATAGAAAAGCTTTTAAACACGGTAAACTGTGTGACGGGATACGATGCGATGGGTTATAGTAGAAGCAACTTGCAGCAGTAAAAATGTAATGTCGTTCTCTCTGTATGATGCGCGCAAGGAGAACAATTAGCACTGTCAATTGTAAATAAGTTGACTGTCAGTCAACTGTAACTACGATTCAGTGTGTACGGTTTCATTCGAAAAAATGCAACGGACAAGTAAGTAGAACTAGAAAAATGGAAATGAATGAAGAAACAAATTGATTCATGCCCCTTCTTTTAAATCTTTAACTGAAATGATGTTTCAAAATTGAAATGCGTATGTACATTTGTACACTGTACACACGTAAATATGAAGTTAATGTCTCACAATAGATAATCACATATATAAGGATAAATACCAGTAAACGTAACCATCAACATATAAGTTTATGGTATACAACATTTCAGAGCATTCACCCGTTATCGATAGATATGTAATTGACAATTTAAATGCTCCAGTAGCAGGAATACTCCTGTTGTTGGATTATCAGTAAAGGGATGTCTTTATTCGCTTTGTATAGTATCTTATCTGTGTAAAGTTAAAACCGATAATGCTCGTAAACGAAAAACATCGATGCGGTCAGCTCGACTTAGCGAATCAAAATTAGTATCACACGGAACGGCAAGTCGCACCGTTAGCTCGATCACTGAAACTTATCGCTGATTAATTGAAACAGCAATTACGAAATGACGCGGAAACATAGACAAATGATAGGTTACAAAATATTCTGTATGATCGTCGTTCCAACGATGTATTTGATCTTCGTTAATACGTTAGCAATATTTCTTCCAAACAATGCAGCAAGTGCGAATAACCCTACGGATACGCGTAAGTCTCGTTTTCTGAATTCTCCGTATTCTCAATTCTTCCTCTTCCTTCCTTTTACGTTATATGTGTCTTATACATATCAAGTAATTCATATCGTATCATATTATTGTCATAAGTAAACAAAAGTCCATGACTTTTGTTTTCTTAAACATACATTTGTCCCTTATTGCGACATGCACGATTAGTTGCGTTCTCTCAAAGAGTAAAGGAACAACTAATAACAAGCGATAAGTAATAAAGGGCAATTATGATGAAGCATTCGACGACTAACGAATGCGTATACACGGACGCATGCCGCTACGTTGAACGAAAAAGATGGTGGAGATATCGAGATACTAAAATTTAGAATGAATCATTACGTAATATGTTCGCATTATAAATACGATCTATATATAGTATATTTTATATATACATATAAAACTTTCACCTTTTACCTCTACGCTTGTTCTCCTTACTTTCCATTTATAATATAACATAGTTCCTTCGTTATCATTGGAATTTACGCGTATAGTTACTATTATATATCATTACGAGTACGTACATATTCTATCTCTTTAAGGACTTCGCAAGTTATTGCAAATTGGACCAAGCGCTATCGAAGCTGGAGAAAATGAAGTAAACTGCACTCCTCCAGCGATAAAAGAATTTCCATCGGATGGCCTTACTCGACAGCAAAGACAATCGGGTTTTATAGCTATACATTTCGTGATAGCGATTTACATGTTTCTGTTACTCGCTATCGTTTGTGATGACTTTTTTGTGCCGTCGATTAAAAAAATTTGCCACAGTAAGTTCAGTATTCCACCTTATTTTTATTTCAAGAAAGGCTATCGTCAAGATCTAAGATAATTTTTCATATAGCTAATACAGCTAGAACGTTGGAACTATTACATGGATCTGATTTTCAGAGATTAACGTAACAGAAGATGTCGCAGGAGCAACAATTATGGCAGCAGCTAGCTCTAGCCCAGAGCTGTTTATCAATATCGTAGGTACTTTTGTCACGGAAGGAGATTTGGGCGTCGGCACGATTGTTGGTTCTGCTGTTTTCAATATATTAGCTGTGCCTGCTTGTTGTGGTTTATTTGCAAATCAGGTGAGATCTTATCCTTGCGTCTTACACAGACGGAACACACTATCGATTATGTATGAATCGAAAATAAAATCAAGTACATGAAGAAGGAAACCAAGAAATAAACACGAATAAAGCAAATCTTTGTTCAGGTATTGAATCTGGAAGGGTGGCCTGTCACGCGAGATACTATCGCATACGCATTCACAGTTCTCTTACTTATTTTAACTTTACGAGACGGTCGTATCGAATGGTACGAGGGATTGATTCTCGTTCTCTTGTATGTTTTGTACATTTTAGGTAAGTTTATGAAGTACTATTCAGGTAATTCCCCATTGTTACTCGATTCTTTCTATCGATAAGTGATAAAACCTTTTAAGTTGAGAAACTAAATAAATATTTCGTTCCATTTTTACTAATCTTCATTGCTACTTTATAATTTCCACACAGACTGCTTGTATCTCTAATTAAATGAAACGGAAATGTTTATCGTTCTAGCAATGTGTTTCGATCGGAAGATACATCAGTTTGTTCAATCGATAACAAATACAAGAAAGAAGTATAAGAATCTTTCCGAATCAACTCCCCTACTTTCTAATGGTATTGTTTATATCGATTAATTTTTTATTCAATTCAATTCTCTGAATTATACGTCGTTGAGTTTCATTTAAAAACACACGTCATCCGTTTGTTCTGTCAGACCTGGTTAAAAGCACGGATATTATTTTGTTGGAATCGAGCGGTGAAGATGAATCGCGTAAGTAACATAGACTGCATGAAAATATGTACAAGAATCCTTTGAGAAGCCTTAATCCCAATAAATATCTACCTATGTGTATATATACATATATTATTTTAGTTGATATCGTGAATATGAAGAATTGGCCAAATTCGACGTGCGAACGGATTTGGTGGTTGATTACTTGGCCTATAAATTTTGTGCTTCTCATTACGATTCCTGACTGTAGAAGAAACACATTGAAATCTTGGTACCCCCTTACTTTTATCATGTGTATAATATGGATAGCAACTACTTCGTACATAGTTGGATGGGTCATCACTGTAATTGGTACGTATCCTTGCAACAATTGTTGTTATCGTTCCCAGATTTATAAATGCACTCGTTTTATTCTCGATATCGATTTAAAATGATCCTTATTTCAGGTGATACATTTAGGATTCCTGATTCCATAATGGGACTGACGTTTCTTGCGGCAGGAATGAGTGTACCGGAGGCTGTTTCTAGTGTTATCGTTGCGAATCAAGGTAATTTTCTTCATTTTGCGCTTTCACTCACCGATACCTTGCTAATAGAAGAATCAACCGGTTAAAACGAATTTTCATTTAAACGCACCTCCAAAGTAACCGATTAACCTTTGGAGTGATTTTCTTGTGATAATCGGTACATCGATCAAGAAATAATATATATGTAGCTAGCGAATAGCGGTCACGATAACGTAGCTATCGTGAAATATCACGATAACATAGTTATCGTGAGACGGTTAGGTTACGATAACGCACCGCGTGATATTATCACGACGTTATTATCAAATTTGCCTCATCTTAGAATCGCTTTATAATCAGTTACAAACCACGTCATGTATTTACAGTATTATAAATGTTTTTACTTTTTCTTCGCGACTAGCATTCATAAAGTACCGATATTTCACGATTTCTTTTCCTCTGTTTTTTCCTAATCTTTCTTTCTTATTTGGGTATTGTTGATTCAAAATATGATTTTAGGGCACGGAGCCATGGGCATAAGTAATTCGATCGGTTCAAACGTATTCGACGTGTTACTTTGTCTCGGATTACCTTGGTTCCTGAAAGCAGCACTTTTTCCGAAAACACCTGGCGATCATTATGTAACGATTAATTCACAAGGTCTGGTTTACAATTCCATATCGTTATTTTCTACTCTCACCGTACTTTATTTGTCTCTTCTAATTGGCAAATTTAAATTGACTCGATCCATTGGAATAGTTTGCCTCATTATGTATGTAATTTTCTTGGTATTTGCTTCCATCCTCGAACTCAATTTGTTCTTTGTGGTTAATTTACCAATATGTGTTCACTGATACTTTATACATATGTTTGTTAATCCACTGACAATCTATCTTTACCGACCAAGTTTTACAAAAGGATTCGGAACTTTGAATCAGGCTCTCCTTTTATCTCCTTTCGATATTTTGATACGCACCATGAATCGTTGAAACATCAATTGAATATTGGTTTCACAATGAATGTATCGTGCTTGTCGCAAATAATTCAACTTTTAATTAGTTCATTATATTTTCCTGAATGTTTGTGTGCATTCTAGTGTATTATTTTGTGACGCATATGTACTTATGAATTTGTGCACATATAAATTTAATGAGTGTAATATATGAATGCCTATGTATGTATGTATATATGATATTTATATAGCTATTTCAATGATTTACAAACCATTTATATTTAGCATAAGTGTTTTTCAAATAAATTTCTGAAGTACTGTCCTTGTAGTTTAGCCAAGATACGAAAGAAAATTACAGAGATTTTTATAGTCCTCTGATATACGTAACATATAATGTATCTCATTACAAAGTAAGTTTCAATGGAAATGTATAGCTGTACGAATATGTCAGAGAAAGAAAAAGAACACAATTATTTATGTCATCCAAACAGACGCATTATTTCATTTGATATTTGTATATTTTTACACTGCATTATTCATTTTACAAAAATTTGCCTATCAAGAAAAAGAAAATACATATGTATGACATATTATAAAGGTGTAAAATACAATGCTTTAAAGTTGACCGCAATTGGTAATTACAACCTTCTGGTGTGTTTTCCCACTTTGTGAGCCATAACTTTCAATTTTTTTTACTACACCCATACCATCAACTACAGAACCAAAAACTACATGCTTATTATCCAACCAAGTAGTCTTTATAGTAGTTAGAAAAAATTGTGAACCGTTGGTGTTAGACCCAGAATTTGCCATAGACAATATGCCTGGTCCAGTGTGTTTCAATTCAAAATTTTCATCTTCAAACTTTTCCCCATAAATAGATTTTCCTCCTGTACCATTGTGATTAGTGAAATCACCACCTTGGCACATAAATTTAGGAATTATTCGGTGGAAGGTACTTCCTTTATATCCGAAACCTTTCTCTCCCGTACAAAGAGCGCGAAAATTTTCTGCTGTCTTTGGGACTACATCTGTTCGTAATTCCATCACGATACGACCCAATGGTTTATCATCAGCGGCTACATCAAAATATACTCGTGGCAAAACCATAACGATATTTGCAAAACGTACTTTACTTTTTCACAACGTCTTTTCCTCAGCAGGTGACATATAATGAGCAACAATAATTAAGTATACGTTATTTTGTAATTCAACTTATGCTACTTTAATTCATTTAAGAAATAACTGAATCAAACAAAATCGTTTAGCAAAAATAACTAGGTTAGTTTCTTTCGCTTAGAAATATATATGATTAAAGTATGATCGACACGACATCTTCATTGTCACACTGTACCAGATGTGACCAGCCTAAACATAAATCAGTTATATTTATGATATGTAGATATATTCTATACATCAGCGGTTCTTAATATTTTGCTTACCATAGATCTCCTTTAAATATATAATTTTTTGTTGTCGCAAACCCTCAAAACCTAATTTAAAATTCAAGTCTAGAACGTGCCTTAAACAATTATATTTAAAACATTCATCAATTAGTCATCAAGAATTTATAAATTTGGAGAGGATAAATATTTTTTATTCCAATAATAAAAGGGTAACTTATGTATGTAAAAACTTCGCTGCCTCCCGGAGGTTTGCAAGCTAATTGTTTTACATATTTGCTTATTTAAATCGTTTTATGTTTTAATAGATATTATCTGATATTACGAATAATATATATACATATATTGTATATGATCATAATTGAGATCATTCGTTTTTTATACATACTATTGTATACTTATCTTCTATATGTATATATTATAATATGGGCCATTTGGTAAATATAAACGCATATCCTTTATATCCGTTATAATTTCGATAAAACAATCTGTTATCAATGTGTGATACAATTTTTAGCATTACAATTCTCTCTAATAACTTGTTCGATATTATTAATTCATTATTATAACAAATCATGCTGCGAAAGCAGACAAGGGTGTTATAGACGGGTAAAATGTTGCTATAGATGGCGGTTGCATACTGTATTCTTGAATTACTGTATCGTTGGCTTTCTATATTCGTTCGAAAAATTTGTGACAGTAAAGTGTGTTGTCGACGCCCAGTTACTCGTGAGTGTTTCGGCTAAATTTTGTGTATTTCTTTTCTTAATGCGATTTGCATTTTGCTATGGGTTAAATAGTGAAAAATGTCACTGCATATATTTGAGCATATATTCGAATGATAATTTTTTATAGTAGAAGTCGATAGATTTGACAAAATACCAAAAATGGCGATCTGAAAAAACAATTATTTCATACAACATCTACGTATAATTGGATCGACTCGTTGAGAATTGGCAAACGTGCACCTTTCCGTCATTTCTGCATAATATTTCTTTCTATTCGCTTGACGGAAACGAATATCTTTGAAGTAACGTTTGGGGCGTTCAACATATATTTCCTTTTACCTAGTAAAGTATACAATAGAACGTTAGGGGACATAATTGGACGTGACGGGATGTAATGAAACGTGACGAAAACCGACGGAATTGAGTAGGACTGGACTAGACCAGACATTGCAAAACCGAACGAGACGAAACTTTATGTTACTTTCGACGATAACCTCGTGTAAGAGAACTCGGTATATGTAAACGTATACATTACCACTAATAACGTTTACACGTTTCTTTTGTACATAGAGATTTCCCAGGGAAAGAGGAAAAATGCAGACAATTAAATGCGTTGTAGTTGGGGATGGTGCAGTAGGTAAAACTTGTCTGTTGATTTCATACACCACGAATAAGTTTCCATCCGAATATGTCCCAACAGTGTTTGATAATTATGCTGTGACTGTTATGATTGGCGGTGAACCATATACCTTAGGATTGTTCGATACAGCAGGTAATTATTAGTTTGCTCTACATATATATTAAAATATATTTGTTTTTCTTTCATCTGTTTTGTTAACTATATGTGAAATAATTTATTGATTCCTAATCTTTGATTTAAAGGTCAGGAGGATTATGACCGGCTACGTCCCTTAAGTTATCCTCAAACTGATGTGTTTCTTGTTTGTTTTTCGGTTGTGTCACCATCGTCATTTGAAAACGTTAAAGAGAAGGTATATATGTGGATTTCATACTTATAATATCGTTAATTGTATTTAAAAAAGCGATTTCCCAGCTCAGTTAGAATTCTTGTATCAGTGGGTTCCAGAAATTACTCATCATTGTCAAAAGACTCCATTCTTACTGGTGGGTACTCAGATCGATTTACGAGACGATGCAGCGACTATAGAAAAACTTGCAAAAAATAAACAAAAGCCTATATCTGCGGAACAAGGTGAGAAACTTGCCAAAGAACTGAAAGCAGTAAAGTATGTGGAATGCAGTGCTCTTACACAGGTATGATATTGTTTATAGTATATTTACCCTTATAGTTGATGACGTTTCCTCGATTCTTAACATATCGTTTCCTCGAATGTTTAGAAAGGTTTGAAAAACGTGTTCGACGAAGCTATTCTAGCAGCGTTAGAGCCTCCGGAACCAGTTAGGAGAAGACGATGTATCGTTTTGTAGAGAGCAACTAATATCGTTTTTAAAACCTATTAGCACTGTTCGGGTGATGACTGCTGTATGAGTTTGTCATACAGTGCATACGAGAATACTTTCGACTAATGATAGTTCGTCTGATTATCTGTGCGATCTATCTTTCGTTTTCAAATCATTCGACGTACGCTCGATTCGAAGAAAAAATTCGATCCAGAAAAGGTGAAGACAAGCATTTTATGTATAAGAAATATCCACACATATACATGTATATTATGTGCGTACATGTGCACGCGCGCGCGTGTGTGTGTGTGTGTACATACACACACACACATATGTATTCATGCATACATATGCACTGAACGCGCGTGCACAGACACCCACACACACACACACACACAGAGGCAGACACACCCATACCAATATTTATCCTTTCGTCGACTGGTTCATCGAAAAAAGATAATCTACGGTTGGTTTTTTGCTTCAACCAATTCGAAGCAGCGAGCGAACATCGATGCTTCTTGGCAATCGCGTGGAAGGAACAATGTAATTATTGACAACTGTGAACATCTACACGAATTTCGTATAAAAAATACTTGTAAAACATTCTTCTATTTAATATGTAAGACGTTTTTATTGATAACTTAGTAGTGTGAATTTTTTAATAAATCAGTTTAAAAAAAGATTATGATTGAAACATACGAGTACAACTTTTATAGTTTTTTGTTTACCTTTACGTCATTTTTACGTTCTTTAATGATTTAACTATTTTTTCTTAACAATAGTGCTCGGGGTGCCTCCTTTTATCTCAGTTTTCGACACTTTCAAAATGATAAAACCTCTGACCTGTGGTTAAAGCTTTATTTACATACATTTTTTCACGATAATATATCATGGAATAATTAAGTAGTAAGTAAGAATAATTAAGTAAACTATATTACATGTAAAACCTGTTTCTAAGCTTGGCCATTTACCATAAAAGTTTGGTATCTAACTTTGGGTTAAAATTGATTACATTCGAATTCGAATGTTATCTTATTTTCTATTCTATCATGATTACTTAATCTCTATTAGGTCGCTATGATGTTGACTGCGTTATGCTGTCATCATACGTGTATTTTGATATACGCACACTAACATTTGTCGACAAAAGGTTTATCATACGTTTTATGAAATAAGATGCATTTCTTTGTCTCTGTTACCGTTTGTCATTTAAAAAATCAATGCATTACGCTCACGGAAAGGATATCACAAAAGGTGCGGCATGCCTGCTATGTGTAGTCGTGTAACGTACTTATGATTGGCTTGAGTTTCAGAAAAAGAAAGAAAGACAGCAAAGTAATATTTTACGCAGAACGTGTTCATATGATCATTACTTACTTTTGGTCATTTTTTTGAACACTATTATTTTTTATTATGGTACAAACAATACAAAGTAGAGAAATCTTTACTAGTAAAGTGTAATCTATGATTTCAAAGTTATTTTCGTTGTATCACTTTTGACAGTGATAAGTTCTTCTCGTGGATTTAGTCTTTCTTTCGTAAATATAAAACGGATCAAAACACTAGGTCGAAAGAAACGGAGTAACGAATACGATACAAACGTAATTTATGAAAACCGATGTTTAACAATAGAAAGTCAAATGCATTCGATCATTTATAAATTTCATCGTCGTTTTTACTGTTATGATTTTATTTTGATCAGTCTAAAATACCGATATGTATTTAAAAGAAATAATGATGAAACAACGTAGCACGTTAAATATCAAGTTAGCTCAAGTGTACTAACTGTGGCGTTTTTCTATTTGCATGTTTCGCACCTTTTCTTCTTTATTGTAAAATTTCTAATTAATTTATCAATTCCACCGCAAAAATTGAATTCAATTTGTTGAAAATAATTAGCGTCAGCTATACTTACATGTAGTATACATCATAGACGCCGTAAACGTCCTTCCCTTTGGTTTATGTTTATCGATATCCCTGTAAGTATTTCGCCGTGACTAGAATCGATTACAACGTACGTACAATTTTGCCTCGTGAGAAGCGATAAAACATAATTTATCTTTCGAAATTACAGAGGCCCTGAGTTGATCTTTTTATTTCTTGTTCCTGCTATAGGTCGCATTAGATTCGATTTCGATTCAGTTGCAAATGTGGCGAGAAAGGGCAGTTCGTCTTCACTTGCGTACCTTATCGTCCTACGTGAATATTTTTGATAATAGATGCATAATAAGTCGATCAAAAATTATTCAAGGAAGATGAACACCTATGTTTTGGTATTGAAACGCGTATTTCAAACACGAATTTGAAAATTCGTTCATCATTTTGGGAAAATCTCGCGAAAATATTCACAAAGATGTGGCTGTGTATTAAATATAACGATTGGTTTATGTCCTGCTGCTGCGTGTGCGTGTAGGATATTCAGACACGTGCAGACTTTTCACAGTAGATAGATTTAAACATTCATGGCATAGTATATTGAATTTTGCGCATGTGTTGGTAGAGCCTGGACACCATTTGAATTATGCGCAACATAAGAATTTGTTGTAAGTAGAATTCCAGATTGCGTAACGTCGTGGGATGGTGCGCTGGCTGCTCCTTCGGGAACTCCGCGTTCCATTGTTGTGTAGTTGCCAATTATCTGCTGTTGGTGTAATTTTGAAGGCGAACAAGGGATTTGTAAGGATGATGACGAAGAACAAGACGACGAAGAGGAGGATGAAGAGGAAGAGAAGGAACAAGATGAAGAGGAGGAGGAGGAGGAAGAGGAGGACGAAGCAGAAGAAGACGAGGCAGATGCCGGGGACGATGAAGACGATGACGACGACAACAACGAGGAGGACAAGGCGCAGGAAGTCGAGGATGAGAAAACGGTAACTGTGGACGGTGTTGAAGTTACAACATTGTTAGAAATGGACTGAATGGTTCCTGCGCGACATACGGCGTCGAAGTTGGCACTGCTGCAATTTAGAGTATCGGAAATGTGATTCGGAAGAGTAAAATTCGAGGTCTGTAGAGGTGTTACGGGTGTAACAGTTGGTAGAGAAGAGGATGACGAGCACGAAGACGGTTGTGGCAATGAAGGAGAGAACGAGGTAGAATTAGAAGGTATCGAGATAGAAGCGGATGAGGACAAAATTGTTTGAGCCGATTGAAGATCGGACGAAGGTGTGAGAACTGTATGTCCCAAATGCAATTGGTAGAATCGATAAGATCCTTCGGTGGTTGCTATTCCGCTACCATTGAACGCAGCGCATCTCGATGGCGCTATTACAGTATAAGAGGACGAGGAGGAAGATGCTGCGGATGAGGCGGATATAGTGGATGGTAAACAATAAAAAGTAGGTTGATGATTGTGTCGATGATAGGGATGATGCTGATGTTGTGCGTGATGATGAATTTGTAACGAATGATTCGCGGTATGAGGAACCGAGGAAAAAGTGACACCGGAAATTCGAAAGTCATCTGGTTGCTGATGATGATGCAAATGAAGGTGCAAGGTTTGTTGGGTAGGCTGTAACGCGATTGGATTAGTGGACGAGATTGATGTGAACCGAGAATCAAAAAGAGGAGAGGAACCAGGAGGTATAGGATGACTGACCGAACCGGAGGAAAGTGGCGAAGCTTGATCAAGGTTTTGAGTAAGATTCGATATCGGCGATACCGAACGATTCCCTAAATGGAAATATCTAAATTGTTGTGGCGCTAGTGGTGGTTGCGGTTGTGGTTGCGTTTGTATTTGCGTTTGCAATCGATGATCGTTCTTATTAGTTCGAGGATACGGATACCTCTCGATGTGATTCGCGTAACTAGGAGAAGGATGCGATGGCAAGATTCGTTGGATATTCTGGTAAGTTGGATCGGATAATCCGTTGTACGGAACGAAATACATGGTACGGTAACACTTGCCATTAGCAGGAAGACCGGCATATACGGTGGTAGGCACTATGTTGCATCGATAATTGGTAGGAGTCGTTGCAATAGGTTCCCTTCGTCGAGTTTTTATGGAAGGACCGCCGCTCGTACAACTTCTACCAATACCAACGGGAGCGATGTTGTTTATATCAGTCTGTTCGGCTCCGATTGCGATACCTCGCGTACTGTGCATATTCGCAACATTTAATTGTTCTTGAAAATACTGTTGATCGTTACTCCTTGGATCTTGGTAAAAACGAAAGGTACTATCGTTTGCCGGTAATCGAGAATGTTGTCGCGTGAACAGGTCGTCCGTGTAGGGCTCACGTTCTAACGAATTTTGGCCAGTCACGTTGGTATTCTCTACAATAGTCTGATAGATATCGTCAATTTGTTTCTGCATCGTATTTATTCTGTTAATCGTGTTCGCGTCTTGTTCGTCAGCAATCAAAGTACTAACGAACGAGTTCGGTGTAGAAACGTCGATCATTTCATCATACAAGGCAATCCGACTATCAACTTTAACGCAATTGTTCTCGTAATACGTCGGTAACGAGGAATGAAAATTCGTTTTGAGAACATTTGTGTTATCATTTTCCAGAATTGTCCGTTGATGAAACGAAACATTTTCATCCATGTTATCTTGCTGTTGTCGTTTAATACCGGTTACAGATGGTCTACGATTAAATCCGTAATCGTTTAATTCGTCATCGTCATTGTCAATATTACCAATGTCTTTATTTCCACCGTCATTACTGCCGTTACCGCTGTTGTTGTTGCTGTTATTATTGTTGTTATTGTAACAGCGACTAACTATGCGTTCTATCTCACTACTGCTACCGCCACCACCACCACCACTACTACCACCACCACCACCGCTGCTACCACTATTACCACCAGCACTACCATCACTACCACCATTACCACCAACACCACCACCACGTTCATGATTGACATTCTCATTGGATGGAAAACAAAGTTGGTGTCGATTATCATTACCCTCGTTCTTTCCATCAACGATTCTATCAATTTTATCCTCAACGTTGTAACTATTGTTAGTGTTAGTGACATTCATTACCGGCTGATATTGATTTTCGACTTCGTTGTAACGTCGCTTTATTCTTTCGGTTCTGAATTTGTCTTGTTCTACAAATGCTAGCAATTCATCGGTTGTACTATCTCCTATATCGGGTCTGTTGTTGATACTCGTCGGTGTGCCTTTGGTAACGTCCGGTGGACCTACGTAATTTCGACCATCTTCACACAGCGCCGCTTCGATATCTTCTAAACTGTAAGGCGGAAACGCGTTGTAGCCTACAGTCGAAGCACGATTTTCGTTCACCATTATTCTAGAATTATACCGATAATAATCTTCTTGAGTATCCGTATTATTAACAGTTACACAGGACAATGGTGCCAGACTAGCTAGGAATTGTCTACGACCATCCGAATTATTCGTTTTTAAGGAGTTTTTCGATTGTTGACCGTCTTTGACGTTATTGTTTTTTCCGTTGCTTCCAAGACCAAGATCTGGCAAGTTAGAATGAATGCTTTTTTTGTGTACAAACAAATCGGTCAATTTCTTATATGTCGACTGATGTATGCCATCGGCAGTTGCAGTACTGGTAGTGGAAGGATTTTGCTTATAATAATTGGAGCCTGTAACCATTGTGGTCATAGTTGTGGTTGCCATTGCCGTGGTTATCACTGACGACAAGCTCGACGACGTAAGTATCGTCGTTGCCATTGCCGTAGTTGTTATCGTAGCGGCAGTGTTGGTGGCGATGGTCGTCGTGAGTGCTGCATCGGAGAATGCGGTGAGTTTTGTAGCGACATGTAGTGTTGTTGGTAACTCTGCTGCCATCGACGACATGTCGGCATCGTGTCTCAATGACGGATCATGTATTGGTAATTCGGTATCGATTTCCGTACTTGTGAACAAATCTGTAACACCCTTGGTTGAATTTTCACAAACATTGTCTTCCTCTTGGTCCACGCAAGTAAGTTGACGTATTCGTTCCTCTAGCGACAAGTTTTTCGAAGGAAGAACTTTCTTTCGAGAACTCGTGCGATATTTATCGAGAAGACTTCTTCGAAGAGTATTCCTCTCGATCGTTCTCTTAATTGGATTCATTGAGTCGTTATTAAGAGAACCGGTCTGATTTTCGCCAATTTTTGATCTCTTTGCGACATCGAGAAAACGTAAGTTCTCCGCGGTAACGAGAAATGTCGGGCTATCCTGTGACTCGTCAAGAGTATTCGCCGAAGAAATCAATTTACCAAGAGGAGCCGGAGGCGGCGAAACGAATCTCGGGTTAGGAAATAACTGTCTAACCGCAGAATTTGGTTTAAGACTGTTGCCCGTTAAAGAAGAACTACCCAGTTTAAATATAAGGGAGAGCTCTTTTATATCCGATGGTGTTTGGTTTACGGCAAGTCGATTTTCGTTGTCCTGTTCTTCCGTATCGCTTATTTTGTTAGGTAAATTTGGCTGCGTATCATGATCATCGTTAGCATTGCGACAACAAATTTCTTCGTTACGTACGATACATTCGATCGAATCGTTCTCATCGGTTGTAGTATGATCATTCGTCGTCCGATTAACTGCTATTTCTGTGTCATGGGAAGCAACATTCTTTTCAGAAACGTTCTTTTGGCTGGTTTTCTTTCCATGTTGCAAGTCGATATCTTCTTCCTCGCTAATTTCGCGTACAATACGTCTTTCGGTGACAGTTGTCATAGTTATGGTTTCCACGAGATACCGATGGCGAGATTCTAGAAACGAAAAATGCTTTTGCGAATGTTTGCCATCAGAAAACGTTAATCATAATGCATATTTGCATTGAAAAATTAAGAAACGTATAAATATACCACTAGTAGTTGCTTTTGGTAGATTCTCGTCCGTTTTCTGTACATGCCCGTTATTACTATCCATTACCTCGTGGTTGCATCTGGATTCTCCTTCGACCTCTGCACCTGTAAAAATACGATACGCCATCTTATTGGTTACTTCGATGTTCAATGACCGTCGGAACGTAGCCAAGTGTACAATTGACACGAATATCAACAAGTACGTGACAGATTTTATAGTACGTCGACGAGCAGTTTTAGTTAAGAATGTACACATTCTTTTTTCCCCGCATAGCACGAAAATGCCGGAGTCACGGTACACTGTACTTCCGGCGGCTGCTGACAACCCGTACAATCAACGTTCACGAACATGAATAAGTGCGCAATTATTATTTACGTATTCGTTCCGTAAACGATTTTCTCCTCTTTCCTTTCTTTTTTTCCTCCTCTTTTCCCCCTTTTCATTGGAAAGAACTTTGCTATTATATGTATGGAATTTATTCGATACGGTTTTGTCATTGAATAGAAAAGTAAGAAACGTTAAGAACAAAATTTGCATTACACGAAACTGTGAAATTTCACATAGTGGGTCTATCGCAGAAATAAAATAATCTTATTTTAGGAAAAAATAAAGAAACTTATTCCTTGCTCGAATTAGGAGGTATGTATTATTCATGACAATACATTTCACATTATGAAGAGAAATGGTGTGAGAACGCCTGTGAAAATTGTACAAGAATATAATACCTAGCTTCTTTATGTTGGTTTGTATTAATACTCCCCTTTGATTCAAGCTTGGTTGGATATTATTGGGAAGTAAGAGAAGAAAGTTCGGTTCTTAATATATATATACACGTATATTATATACTTATATTATATATACACACATATATTCATAAAGAGCATGGCAAAAAAAAAAACAAGGAGTGTCACAAAATAGCTTTGTTAAGAAAATTAAACTTTAATATTCAAATCTATCAAAAAAAAACAAGAAGAACATTCATTAAGTTTAACCATATTACTAAGAAAATGAAGCTTATATCTTATTAAGACATCATAAAAAAGAATGACTAATGAAATATTAAGTATTTTACAGTAATTGCAATTTTGTTTTAATTTGAGCATTTAATAATGAAACAAATTAAGACATTTCTACTTCTACTATCACTAAAAATAAAAGAAAACACCTATTTCACAAATAGTCACTTTCTTCTCACGTATTTGTTGTGTATGACGCAACATGTCATAAAACGGATAGGGAAATTTCGTGTTTTGTTTCAGTACATGTGGGCATTCCCTGTTATTAATCAAACTATCAAATCTTCAACGCTATCTTATGGAGACATTTTGATCGTTATAATAAATAAAAGTTTGATACTTTTACAGTCTCAGTTTTCACAAAAAAAAAGAGAGAATATGTTATAAAATGGAAAATCACAAGAAATGGACGTTTCTCGTTGTTTTCCCTGTACCTCTCACATTAGAATGAAACTCACCTGCCGTTCGTTGACAGTGAAGATAATTTAATGATGATCGTAAGCAACATTCTGCTACGTTAGACAATTCTCCATTAGAATAAACATCTTTGTAACCTTCGGGTGGACTTAATGTTTCTTGTTGATGATCTTGACTTGCAAGTAACGGTGGCGATGATCTTTCTATCAATGGTTGTGATGGTGCTGGCGGTGGTGGTGGTGGTGGAGGTGGTGGTGGTGGCGGCGGTGGTAGTGGCGGCGGTGGAGGTGGTGACGGTGAAGACAACGTAGACGATGCGATCGTCAATGGCGGCGAAACAAATTCAGTCAGAATTCGTCTGTAACTCTCGACATTCTTTGCTCCATTAACTTTTTCGCGACTTTTGCTTTTGTCTCGTAGATCCGCTGAGTTTCTTACTTCTCTCACTACTTCTTCCCCTACATTCGATCTTCTCTCCTCCGTTTCCGCTATGGTCTTTGGCACTTGGATTCCTTTTTGTACTACATGCTCCTTTCTTCTTATTATGTCATCTTTAATTGCCTCCTCTACCATTAATTCCTCCTCTTCCTCTTCCTCTCCTTCTTCGATTTCTTCTTCATCTCCTTCCACTTCTATTTCATATTCTTCATCATCTTCGTCTTCTACATGTAACTCAACACATTCGAATCCTTCGCGAGTACAATTTTCTTCTCTGAACGTGTTTTCGTGTATCATTTCTCCATCTCTTTCTATATCATGGTATCGATTGTTATCTGAAACACCGAAATGAAGATTCAACTCGGCTCGACATTCTTTACAGTTTCCCAAACGCATCAATTCATGTTCCTGGCAACAACAATCACAGTCTTCTTCATAATCGGCACAACATTCTTCTTTTATCAATATTATATAATCAGCTGCAAAAAACTCGTTTAATTTTTCGTTGATTACAACCCGATTTTTCTGCGATCGTGTTTTAGATTGACCAGGTTTTTTTAACAAGGACTTGAGAATTTTCGCAGGCTGCTCTGCCGGAAGTTTGCTTCCGTGCTCCTTCATTATTGGGGCTTCTTTCTTCCCCCTCTGTGCTCACTATATATCTCTTTTCAATGTCTATACCCGCGCAGTATTCCTTTCTCTATCTGTCGTCCACAGGTGTGCGTTACAACGTTATATTTCGACTTTTTCCATCAATAATTACCATGTTGCGCGTCCTGGACGCAACAGTATTACTTTTGTCTTCTCAAGTTAAATTCCAATTGCAGTTTCAGCTCCAGACTCCTGATGTATTTCGATATAATACTATGCATAATCGATTACCCAATACGATTGATAACCCGATCCTCTTAATTAATTAAGTATCATCGAGCAGCCACGCCATACTTTTCTAGAGACGACTATTGTTCCGTTTCTGTAAATTTGTTAATTCGACGACGCGTTAGGCGATAAACAAAATCAGTCGGTCAATCGCACATAACCGACTCATCACGATTTGTAATTGTGATGCAAGCGAATATTGATTGAATTTTATTCAACATTGTAAACGGAAAGGAAATAAAAAGAAGAATGAGAAGTGAAAATTACTCGTAAAATTGAAATCGATGCACTATATCCGTTTAAACCGTTGTTTTCCTGGTGTTTTGTCTCATCAATCGAAAATTATTCGACGTACTACGAATTATGTAATAGGAAAAGCTGAATCGGTAGCAATGAAAAAGTGAACGAACGAATGAACAAACATGCGAACGAGCGCGTGTAATTAGAATCATTCGATATCTCCTTTATTCCATAGCAGCGACAAGCAGCAAAAACCTTTCTGCGTGCAGCTCGGAGTTTTCATGCCTTGGTATTTCACTCGTTCGTGGGAACGATTAGTTCAAGCATTATCACCGGTCATTATTATGTTATATATATATATATTTATATTACATATATATAAGTATTATTATTTCATTATTATATGTTACACTAAACACCGGTATTGACACTCGTCGACGACGACGATGGTCGTGTTAACCGTACTGTCGTCGTCACTGTCGATGTTTTCGTCACGATCCTTGTTAGCGTTGCGTCGTTGCTTTCGTCATTGGCACCGTTTTCTTTTCCGAACGTTCAGTATTTCATTCGTTGTGCGCAAGCGAATGCTCGTTTCAGGTAACACTCGACCGTTTATCGATCTTGGACGGCGAACGTGGGCGCACTTCTAAACGATACAATGCACCACCGCCATAGTTCTCGTTGTAACTCGTACTTTCACCGTATATACACGCACATACTTGCATATTTGTACATACGTACTATTTAATATTCAGCAATGCAACACAACCGAGGTATTACAGTCGAACAAATGAATTTCACGGCTGGTTAACGATTATTTCACTTCGTTTACCTATTGATGAAGTATTAAAGTGAAATTATATTACTGTACAAAATTGGTGAAACGTTTATACAATCAAGGTTATCTATCGAAGACTTGGTAAAGCTCCTGATATTCACGACGCGGCAACGCCAACTCAGCGCAGCGCAACAATTCGAATCGTATACACCATAGCTACTCGTTCGAAACGAACGCCGATGCTAGCTGTCATCGGACCGTTTCGACCTCGAGAGGACACCACCTCACAACCGTTGCCTAGAGTAGATCATTAACGCGCACGATAACCGCGCATTGCGTCATAATATGTTTGAATTTGTTCCGCGCAATAGCAAACAGTAAACGAAGGGTCGGTTACGATAGAAAATGAGGATTTAATATTATATTATTATTAATAGGTATTAACAAATCTCCGCTTCCCATCTTTTTCATAACGCGCGAGATAACATTAGGTACACGTAATATGAAACAAAGCGATCCTAACCCAGACCTACATTAATTATAACTTTGCAATGGTCTGGGCACGATGTTTTAATTTTTTCATTCCATTAATTTTATGTCTTTAACTTACGATTTTCATTTATTTATTTATATTTATTCATTCATTTATTTCGTTATCCATTTTACTACTTCTCAATTGTCTCTTATTTTATTTTGTTATTTACTTAGTTTTTATTTATTTTCGCCGAGTATCTTTACATTATTTCTGCGAATTTTATAGTCATTCGTGTCGACTTGTATATTTTATGACAAAATATTTCTAAGATACTTTATAATATTTTTAATGATGATCGTTTATTGCCATGTAGTTAAAAATATTAAAGAAACTAGCGCGTGAACTTACAACAAGATGATTCACAGAGATTCTGCAGTCGAATGCTTTGACCGCTTCATTCTTTATTTTTTGCAACAATCGTTTACTGTGCCATAATAAAAACAGTGTAATATTTGCAGAAGAATATAATAAACTAAAAGCGATCAAAAGTTTAACACGAAATACAGTTCTAACAACTAGACTAATGGCTCTAATCCAAAACGCGGGTAGTTTTGACGATGTCAATATACTGTACACTGTACAATTATTCTCATTAATATTCGGATACTCTTTACAATAGGATAACTTTTTTCAAATTGGAGCAAACGACGAACTTTTTTCAGAAGTTGGAAGAATTAGTTTACTAGGATTGGTACCTTTTCACCGACATAAATCTACAAAACGTCGATACGCCTAATATTTAATTTTAATATTTTAATATTTTAAATTTTCATTACAGAGTCACATAAGAATATGTAAGAAGTGACTTTCACTATTTTTTCATAATTCTGATCAATTGCATCTTTAAAAAGCTTTTTTTCATACATGATCTAGTAAACTAACTCTTCTAACTTCCAAAAAAAAAAAAACGTCGCATGGTCGAATTAAAAAAAAGTTGTTCTGTTTTAAGGAGTGTCGGAATATTAATGAAACTGACTGTAAATTTTTTATATTTATTACACTTGTTGTTAGGCAGATAGATTATGGTAAAGTTTTTTGCCTCAAATTATAATGATTATGGAATATGTAGCGTGGCACTGGATAGTTAATCTCTAATTGTTTCTGTGGTGTGTGTTGTGTATCGTATTACTCGTGTTTATAGTATAAAGTATCTTAAATACTACCTTATGATATAATGAATTATAATACAGTATAATACAATACAATATAATGTGATATGGTATAATGTAGAGTAGTATAATAATAATTAAAATAGAGTATAATATAACAATTAAAATATCACAAATACAATCTGTTTCTATTATTCAGGTTACGTCCAACTGTTATACTGTTATATTTCCAACTCCTAAACTGACGTTGAAGAGTTACTTATGCCATCGACAACGTACAGAATAGACGTGATATATGACATTCAATGCTTTTACGAGTTCAACGTTTTGAGAGTCATCTGATCTGCCCATACTATTTTCGTATCGCATGCGATGTTATCGATTTGGTATCGTAGTGGCGCCACAGACGGCATATAGAATAGACGTAATCACAGACAACGTATAGAATAGATGAGTATACAGCATAGATCTTGCATCTTATAGACTTCATGCCCCATTTTCTGAAATATTGATCCTATAAAAAATTAGTGTTTTTTACGCCCCCTAGGATTTACAGCGGTGTGTGTAGAAATTATATTCAATTCAACTAATAAAATTGGTAAAGTTGCGGACAAGTGTCCTAAAGTCATCACGAGTAAAAATCTGTTGTATTTTTACCATATCTGATAGATTACACATGGTTACATGCTTTAATAATGCACTAAATAACACGTACTTTCCCAGAAAATGGAAAAAAAGTAAATTAATAGCCATCATAAAAAAAGATAAAGACGGCTCCTCATCCTCAAACCTACAACCTATAAGTCTTTACTCAACATAAACAAAGTATTCGAAATAGTCATAAACAACCCCCTAGTCTCCTTTCGCACAAAAAGTCACGTAATTCCAGAAAATCAATTCGGCTTCCGACACAAACATTCCACACTCTACGCAATAAATAAATAATTAACGTCGAACATCTGTTCTCAACGCAAAGCAATGAGTAGTCACCTGCTTAATAGACCGCGTAAAAGCATTCGACATAATATGGATCTTAGGCCTTATGTACAAAATAATTAAGAACAACTTTCCGAAATACCTAATCAAAATAGTCTGGAACATGATAACTAATAAATCCTTTGTACTGACCGATGGTTCGCACACATCAAGCAAATAATTTTTTATAGAAAACGGCTTATAACAAGGAATGTAAACTCTCCACCATTTTTCAATATTTAAAATAGCGACTTACTAAATCTCTTTAATCTCAATACATCCACCCATAAACGCTCTATAGCTTTCGCCGATGATTTAATCATCTATGCAATAGGTCGCAAAACCAAAATAATAAGAACGCAGCTCCAAAAACTCAAAAATAAATGCGAGTAAATGTAAAACCATACTGTTTAGACCCAAATTAAGTGAACTCGACTCTACTGAAAGAGAACATTATACAAAATTTCAATTAAGAGAAAAAACAAATGAAGGGAAACACATACCCCACAAAAATTGTGAAAAATACTTAGGCGCAAATATAGATGACAAATTAATCTTCAAACAGCACATCGAAATTCAACTTGCCAAAGCAAGCAAAGCGTTCTGGAAAGCAAAAAGATTATTCTACTCCAAACATCTGAACAGCAGTGTAAAAATCCTCTGTTACCAAATACTAATTAGACCGATCATAACCTATGGTTGTCCACCCTGGTATAACATACCAGCGTCATTAATGAAAAAAAATCCGGGTATTTGAAAGAAAATGCATCAGGGCTTGTCTGAGTAAATACAGCTCCAAACATAGTGACTTCAAAAAATACGTTAAAAACAAAAAATCTACGATTTAGCCACCATACACCGCATCGATTGTCATATTCTAAAACTAACAAGAAATCACTTCACTCAAGCTGCAAAAATAAAAGAAAATAGCTTAATTTTCAGTTGTCTACTTCCAAACGAACTATACCATAATAACACACTCAAAGCAGGCCATTTCCCCACAGAAGCGTTCTTATACCTAGATGAAAAGAAATTACCTCCAAGATCAAAACAATATACCCATAATTTACTACATAAAAAGAGAAATAGGAATTAAAATAATACTTTACCAAGAAAATTTAAATAGACAGACATAGATACTAGGTGGAGATACAATATGGCTCTCCCGTAGAAAGACACAAAAAGCAAACACAGAAAAAGCATAAAAAGGTATTGTTGGATATCGAAATCAAAAAAAAAAGAAACAGAGAGAGAACCGCAAAACGTCAGTAGCGTTCAATTTCTCTCCTTGTAAAATAAGTGTAAGTATTGTAAATATTGTAAATAAATCTAAATGATATCCCCCTTACCCTCCCCAACCCCTACCCCCACCGTTCCCTCAGCCCCTTAGCCCCAAAGGAACCAAAAGTAGGCTACCAATCTGTCCTGTTTTGCGACCAAGTTTTCGGGACAGAAAAAAGAAGAGAAGACAATATCGTATAAAAGTACCGCTTTTGAGCGGCTTAAATTAAATTACAAACTGTAATGTTAAAAAAATAAACCCAACACAAAATATGGTATGGCTACATCGTACCGTCGCGTGACGGTACTTTTGCCAAAACCACTTTCAAACAGAAATTCATTGTTTATTGTGAATACACATATGTAATTTATATTTTTCTTGGGCAATAAACGTTATATATACATATATATACATGGTTACACGTTAAACTAGAAATGATATATGTAATACATGCATGTATTACATTGCGTTTTAGGATATTTAACAATTTGATGACATATTTTCATATGACATAAGCTCAATTATACATCAATTAAAAATGAATTTATCAACTTATATTTTCTGCTGCAACATAATAACGAAAATTTTATCAATTTGTGAAATCTTTTTTATACTTTATTTAAACACAATCTGGCCAAAACGATCTTTATTTATCCATATAACCATAATAGTTGTGTATGTAATATAAACCATAAAGCATCAATAATATTATGAAGATTTGATGAAAAGAAGAAGTTCAAATATGTGGTGTGGAACACGTAGAACTACTTAGATTACTGCATAAATAACGAATTTAATGAAAAATATTCCTGATAAAAATTGAATGGTTTCAAGGAGAACATAATTTGACGTGATTAGTTTTTGGTAATTAGCTAGTCTTCATCTCCAATTTCGATGATTTCTGAATATGTTATCAAGGACAATTTTTCAAAACAATAATTTTTTCCTTTAGATGCGTATAAACGCCGCTTGGTCCTAGATATTTCTACATATTCGTAAAAAAGAACTGTCCTTATTAGACATTGAATCCCGCACATACATGTGTATCTATGTGCTGATGTGTGACATAGTCGCAAATATAGCCGACACGATCACTACTTTGCCTGCCACTCGGTGATTTGTTTACACCCATCAACCATCGATCTGCTTATTTTTATACCATAGTTTGCGAATCTAAATAAATAGCTACGAAAACCTTATTCACAACTGCATACGCGAGGCTGTAAGAATATTATACTTCAAACTTACAAACAGTTAAGAAATGTAACCATAATGAAATATATGAATTCTAAATTTATATAATAATTACGACTGACTGGTACACTTTTTAATTCAACAAAAAATAATTCACAACACGCAAGATAAACCAAACCCAATTTTAAATCCAACATATTGATGATATTTACTTTTAATTGAATTATAACGGACATTTCTTGCAACCTCACATATATAATTGTGCATTTAAGTTCGCCCAACCGTCGTTAGTATACAGAAGATAAGCTGCCGACGACTGGTAACCAATACTAACATATGCGCTATTACACACACAACTATAGCCAGAACTCACTATAACGGTACCGGCAGTTTTTTCACGAATATCTCGAAAACCAAGCGAGTCCACTCATTCTATGTATGTGAAAAAGTTGCCCAAAATATGAACTTCTACACATATCCAAAAATCATCGAAATCAGAAGGTAGGCAAAATAAAAATAATAAAAGCATATTTCATTTCTAATGACCTTCTGAACTATTCTGTGAAAAAAATTACCACTTATAACTTTCCCGATTGTGAGTGTTTTGGGAACTAATACGATTGAGCTAATGAGAGGAAGAGGGGGGGGGGGAGGGAGAGAAAGAGAGAGAATCCCTCGAATCGGTCCGAAACTACCGAGCTATCCGAAAACTGGTCAAAATATCATGCATTTTGATTATCAACATGTAACTTTATCACCAGTTTGGCTTCCTCAACTATATATTTTATATGTAGTACTAGCTACAACTACTAGTACTTACTAATTACTAGTACAAGCTAGTAACTTGGCTTCCGTACTAGACAACGCTGCTACCGACTGCTTCCTCAAGTATCGACTTACGGTGCCCCCACAGAATTTTATTACATATTCGGACGTACCTCTCTCCGTCACCGGATCCCCTGTATAATTTGTACCCTGCGAACACCCAAACGTTTTTTTAACATTCGTTGTCTCCATTCAGTGATTTCTCCGTACACCTACTATTAAATCTATGGCATAATTCATATCGTATCGTAGTTTGTTGGCCAAACATAGAAGACTCTCTATTGCTTCCAGAAAAGTGAAAAGTCCTATCTTATTGTCAGATATAATGATTCATTCACCTGCATCGGCGTAGTCGTTAGTTTTGCATTTTGCATTCCGTAAGTTTCAATACCTTCTTCGCGTAGTTCTTTTGTAAGTTTTATTTCTTTTCCCTGTTTTCTGGATCTCCATCCTCAGAAAGCTGGTTGGTTTTTCAATATTCATCTCAAACTCATGAGTCAATTTTTTCCATAATACTTTGATTTCCCTTAAATTTTCTTCCACTACAATTCTGTTATCTTTATAAGTAGCCAGGATTAAAGTATGTCACGAAGTGTTTAAAACAGTAAACGAAAACATTAAAATTTATAACTTTGTAATAAGTTTATTTACAGGATAATAAGGAGCAAGGAGGTAATAATTACACACTTGATCGAATATTGAATGACAATTAAAACTCTTTATTGATTTCCATGGTGCTTTTACACATATGGTTTATCAGGCAACTGGTATGTCTGGGAATTAATCGATTGGAGTGGGGCAGTTACTATGCCAGTCATGAATATGGGAATCTTACAACTGAATTTAGAATCATGTGGTCTGAACTAATTTGTAAATTACGGTTGCTGCACTTAATAAGAAGATTATGTTCTTTTGCCAAAGGTGACGAGTGTATCTCTTGGAATATCTTCTCGGGGGTTACTAGTACTTATATCTATTATTCTGTTGTACTAGTAGGAGTTGATTGATTTGTTAAATTTTTTGACTATTTTTGGGAGGATATGTAGACAATGATTACAGATCTGTAAAAGGTGATTAGAATGATTCTGATCCTCTGATATATGATCCTTACGAATATGTTTTTATTTTAGAAATTACATATTTATCTATAGAATTATATTTTTCATTAATAATCTTTAGGGTAGAAATTTCAATAACAACACGGATGTGTTTATTGATTTCTCCTAGGTATGAATCAATTTCGAGAACCGACAATTTATGATTGTTTAGTATTAAATAGGGGAAATTTCATAAAAGATGTTCTCGATATAGTTATAAGCCAGATTTACTAAAATATAGTGAACTGATTTAGTGAGCTTTGCGCCAGACTTATACTCTCTTATGAACTTATAATTCTGAAAATACATTTTTTGACAATTTCTCAGAGTAAAGAACCTGAGACGAATCATCTTCGAATATTTCCTTGAAATAAGATTTAACAATTAACCTAACACATAGCAGACCCGCCTTAGACATTAGGGTAAAATAGAACGTTTAAACTCACATACATACATACATACATATCTATATATATATATATATATATATATATGTATACATACGTATATATGTATTTATAAGAAGTGTTCCAAGACGGGGCACTTGCGAGAAGCTCTTGCATGAAGTCATACCGATGGTCCTCTTGTGGACAAGTAGGAAGTAAAGTACAAAATGAAACACCGATCAATGAATGGCGACAGTGTGCATGCCTGATTAGACAAGAACTGAAGGAGCTTCTATGCAGCGTACTGTTTCTATTCTTATATCGCATTTACTTACTTCATAACATATGACTCGTGTACTTTATCTTTATATGTATCTTTATGAATAAAATCGTTGAAACCAACTTTATACAATTATACTAACAACGAGTTCACGCGGTAACGTAACAGATGAAACCATAACCATGGCTTATACAAAAATACCTAAAGTTAAAGAAGATGATGTGCTTGAATGTTTCCTTTATCCAAAAATTTGTTATACAAAACCTTCAATAACTATAACAGAGGAAATTCTCTTACAAGAAATTACAAAGTTCAATGAAGTAATTGCACCGTATATTGAAGGTTATATTTGGCATAATGATAATTTAATTTTTCATCCTAGAACAAAAGAAGCATTACTATTGGAAAAGCTTATTGAAAATTCTACAACTGTAGGAGGTAAAACGTTTTAATAACTCATTTAAAATATATGATTATTATAATAAATGTTCATGATTATAATAAATGTATATCGTTCATTTTTCATTCTTGCAGAATGTAATATATTGCCTCACATTTATATACGCTTACGTTTTGATGAAGATATAAGTGATGAATGGTTTGTGGTCTTTTTGATATTTAAACTTACCCAGGCTTTTAATGGATTAATTGCTAAAGTTATAGATTCTGACGGTGAATTTCTTTTAATTGAAGCTGCAAATGTTTTGCCCCCATGGGCTAATCCTGAAACATGTGAAAACCATGTATTTATATATAATGGTGAATTGCACATTATTCGCGAAAAACATAAAACATGGTTGGATTTGTTAAATAATCTTTGGGAGAAGCCATATTTTTACAGAGCTTCGGAGAAAGTACAAGATGTCTTAAAAAGACGAATTAATATTTATCCTAGTGAGATTGAAAAAAGACATCACAAGGCTCGAGTCTTTTTACCTGAGAAAGCAGTTTCAATACTTCGACAAGAACCAAGACTGATTGCATTAATTATTCGAACAATTTGCCACTCTGATCCACTTGAAAGAAAAGTAAAAGTTTAATATTATATAAACTTGTGTACAACTATAATTTGGTTTATTTCATAAATTTTTATGTATTGTAGGTTTGTCGTGCTATGAAATATTTTCCTCCTGAACAACGTATTATGGTTAATGTAAAAATGACTAAATGTTTGTATGCAATGGCAAATCATTGTCGATATACTGGAGACCCAAGGACAGGCTGGAATATACCCCCAATAACTTATTCAAAGTATAATGCACACATACTTGGAATTAAAATAGCATGTGGTTTAGAAATGTTAATTGCTCGTGCAAATGAAGAACTTAGAAGAAGAGAAAAAAGATCAGTTAATAATTCTGAGAAATTAAAAGCAAATGAAGATGTTTTAAATACATATTTAAGCCGTTTAGAAGTTAATGGCTATTTTAAAAATCTTTTAAAAGGTAGCGAAGAATATGAAAAACTCTTGAATGCAGCAAAAGATTATTACTTCAAATACTTTAATCTATATAATTCTATTACCGACATTAATAAAAGTGATGCTGAAAAGGTTTTAGAAGCATGGGAAAACATACAGTCCAATGATGTTGAATTACATGGTAATTTTTTGAAATTAATATTTCATTTATTACTCAGTATTTAATTATTACTTCATATTATACTTAATACATAGCACAAGATGAAGCTGCATTAAGTCCTGCAGATAGTGATAGTTGGTTAAATGTAGATCCAATACAGTTAGAAACATTTTTGAACGAAAAGTGGGGAAATACTAAAAGCAAGAAACATAAACAAGAATCATTAAGTCTTAAAGAAAAAGTACAGATGTTCTTAAATCAAAATAGTGATATTGATGGTGTACAATTTTTAGAGTATGTTACACTTGTTAAAATTTTAATAATATTACAAAGTGTGTATGTATAATCTATATATTTCTTTGTTTTCAGAGATCTTTCAACAGAAGTTGATGGAATGTATGATCCAGAGGACAATGGAAAAGTTGATTTCGATGCAGACATATTTGATAGTACATTACGAGGAATATTAGATTTAGCTGTTCCAGGAAATGAAGGAGAATTTGAAGGAAGTTCAGAGGGATCCTTGGGTGAAGATGATGAAGATAAAAGAAATGAAATGGACAAATATATGCGATTGTTAAATTCAGAAATACAGTCTCAAATAGAAAAAGATGAAGACTCTGAGACAAATAAAAGCTCTGATGTTATAGAAGATAATTTGTTAAAAAGTATTACAGAAGAAGCAGGTGGTTCAGGTCCAACTGGAAATATAATAGGTAGACCTGCTCGACAACTTCTGCACTTACAATTACAATCACCCACTACAGTACCTCCTGATTTACAAAGTTAATAATTTTATCTAAATATTAATATTTAGTTAAACATGTTAATGATTGTTAATAGATTGAAATTCCCGCTAGCCATTTTATGCAAAATATGTATTTATTATTTTGAAAGCAGATGAAATTTAAGATCAATAGCACGTTTATCGTTGACAACAAGAAAGTAACTTTATACATAGATGTAGTATTACAAACTCACAATTTTTTAAATATTTTTTCAACTGTTATAAAACATGTATATTTTATACTTGACTTTTCGTTTTTTTTCAGTCTTTATTATACAAAAGTATGTTTAATTACAATATTAAATGAAATACATGAATGTATATATCTATGTGTGTCATGTATGTACATATTAAAATATCATTATACTTTACTCTAAAATATTCCAAAGTCTGCCAGGCTATAACAAAGGTCATTAATTATTTAAATGATGGATTTAACCACTTTGGAATTTTACTTCCTTTTTCAGTTACGGATTCATTATTTGTTGGTGTATTAAATGTCGATCTAGTATTTGTATCATTATTTATATTCTCATTTTTATTTAGCATTGATTTCCTAAAACAATAATATAGTATATTAAACAGTATTTATACATGTAGAATTATGACAAGGAGTCAGTACTTATAAACGTCACTTACCTAACATTAGCTACTTGCAATTCAACTTTCTTAGGATCTGTAAACTTTTCTTTTACATCCAATTTAAGAGCTGATGACCCAGAATAATAAACGATAGCACAAGGAACTAAATTTTCATTAACTAAGCGAGAATTAGGGTTCAAACTACGTTTCGGTGGTGTAGTAACTATTCAATAAGAAAAATATGTATTACTAACTATAATAAACATATACTTTCGGGATGTATAATATGTTATATAATGTAAATCTATAATAAGATTATTGTACTTATAATAAGATGAATTTAAAAATTACTGTGAACTAAGTTCTTCTGAATTCATAAACAAAATTTTTTTGTAAAATATTACGTTAAGTCTAGGGCTTTTCTAAAAATTTTTTCTTTTTTAATTTTTATAAAACAAAAGATATATAAAAATATGCAATAAAAAGATAAATTTATATGCTTTTGAAATTGCTTTTACTTACAAATTATGAAGTCACTATTTGCATCAATCAAATAGCATTTTATAAAATCTTTGATTGCTTGAACAGTTTCCATTGGTTGAAATAAACCCTGCAGAACAAATTGATCTGGAAATTGTATACGGATAATTGTATAATGATATTTATTTAATTGATTTAATATTCGCTTTTCTTGATTGGATTGTCGTTGAATATTTGTTAGGAGAGGTGCTTCTTCTAATTCTTTTCTATAACGTTTAGCATCTCTTAATAATATTTTTGCATCATCAACTGTTAGATCATAAAAATCATCTGGTAATTCATCCCTAAATTTTCGTTGAATTGTAGTTTGATCGAATACCAAAGCATTTCTTTCACCTAACTGCAATAAGAGAGAGAGAGAGAGAGGTTGTATGTTTTACACAACAAGTACTTAAATTTTAGTATACATAAATCTTACGAATTCTATATTATTTAAATCATCTGTTTCATGTTTGTTGCATGGCTGCAATAAAATTTGGTTTCCAGTATAGTTATCTGTACTAGTGGATGGTATTATATTATTTTCATATTCTCTTTTCATTATTTTTCTCTCTTCGTTCTGAGAACATGTTTTTAATTCTTCTAGTTTCTGTGTTTGCTTTCCTGTAGAAGTTATACATTCTGATGTTTCATTAGTATCTGCAATTAATGAATATTCATTTCCAGAATCTCTTTTATGTATATTGAAGTTTTCAGCAATCTTAACTGTTTTTGATGTTGTCAAAGAAATATTACCTATGCTTTGAGGTCGTTTTTGTATTAATCGTAATACAGCTTTACCATTGACGAGTCCTAATGACTTCAGAGTAGTATTTTTTAAAGCTTCTACTCCAGAAATCTGTAAAAATCATAGCATAATATAAAACGGATTTTATACATCTTAAATTTTATCTCAATTTCATAATTGCATAGAACTTCTTAATAGACTCTGATATTCTACAATATTTTCTGTAATATTATTACACATTTAATATTATAGAGCATAAACAATAAAGTAAAATGCTATGGATTACATATTAAAAAATTTATATAAATGTACAATTTATCTAATTTTGTTTTCCATGATGTATACAAATAATGAATAAATCCACACAGGTTTTGATAAAATATATATTTAGTAGTAGATTAGATTTTTTATTAAGTAATAGAAAAAATGCTAATTTTATGTAGAACTCCCATTTTAAGCAACGAATTCAATAAATTCTAAATCTAAATCTGAGTCCTTACAGAACAACAAACTATTTCAGAAAAGTTGATATATGTACATGAATTGCTTATTTAAATAATTGTAAATACAATAACAAAGTTCACTAACATTAAAATCAATGTGCTTCTTAATATGTAAAGATCATTGTAACATAAAAATAAATTTAGATAAATAATATATTTATATATATGTAGAAACATTTCTAATTACTGTTTAACATAAAATTTATTATTAAAATAATAATATTAACAATAAAATAATATACTCATACCTCACGATGCATGTAAATTAAAATAATTTTTTCCAAATCTTCATTAAAATTTACATGCTTTAAAATTTCAGCTAATGTTACATTAGATGTAAATTCACTCATTAATCTTTCCCCATTTTCTAACTGTATACCTATTGTGACATTGGAAACGGAACGTATTTTTGTACAAGGTACCATTTCTAATTGTGCATTATTTGCTAATCCGGTAAATCGTAATATAGCATTAGGGTCTAATACATGATTAAAATGTCTGTAAAAATGAAATACATTCAATTAGAGTATATATTTTTATAACATACAATGACTTCTTTTTATGATAATACCTACTTAAGGTCATAAGAATCTACATTGTATCCATGCTTTTGACACACCTCTTCCAGAATCTATGAGAAAAATATTTTACTTAACATTAACATAACGAAATATTTATCAAAATAATTTTTTAATATTTTTACTGCTTACTTGTAGTATTGTTGTATTTGGAGTTACTCCAACATTTTGTCGACGACCATTTGGCACAAGTACTATGACGTTTTTATTTGTAGCCATAATTGTTAATTGTTTGTGTTAACTGCTTTAATCATACATTTAGAATAAAAATTTAAAGTACAACATAAGGCATCAAAGCAGATCACATTACATGTAACGAACAACAGAATAAGACAGAAGAATTCAAATACTCTTTATATCTATACCTAAATATTTAATGTCAAAAAGAATGTTGAATGCTATAGATGTTCCTTAACGTTTTATATTTAAATACTAAAAATGGCAAGTTAAATGGTGTACAATACACTTGCATATCTTTTTATAAAAAAAGCCAAGCACCGAATATTTTGCTAAGTAAAAATATTTTTTATAGAAACTTGCATAAATTATATAACATCTTATAGTTAGTTATTCATTTCTCTTTTAAAAATCTATGTATACAATTTTGCACAGTCTAACCCACGATCACGATGTATAACCGTGATAAAGCTGAGCATAAACCTTTACTTTTGGCGAAGGAAGGGGGGGGGATCACCTCCAGGAAGCGGGGAAGATGGTCATGTGGTAATTTGGGGTCGTATTAGTTATTGGTTCGAACATAAATGCGTAAAATTTTGAGAAATTCAAAAATTCATATCTCACTTTAATTTCTTTGCAATTATAAATGGTTTATGAAATCTATGGGTATGAAAAATTTTATCGTAAAATGTTAATTTAATTATCTAAATATTGATAATTCATTTTTTAGTAAATTGTGCAATTGTTAATATCTTCTGCATAGTAAGAGTAGAATGCATTATCAATAATTTTCATAACAAAATTTCTTCAAACGTTAAATAAAACTAGTTTATTGAATATAGTTCACATTCTTGCTGAATTATCGATACTTCCTTTGGCAATACGACAATCTTATTTTAATATATCTATGATATTGATAGAAATGATTATCGAGAGGATTTTGTTACAATACGTGATTTTTTAAATTTTTAAATAAATTGTGTCCAATAGAAGTATTCAGAACCTAAACAGTTAAGTAAGTAACGGAATTTTTAGCAGAACTTCGGTTTAGTGGATATAAAATTATTGCCGTTCTCTATTGGAATTTAATGATTTTCAATGCGTTAGATCTAAAAATGCAAGTTTTGGTTTTAGGAATCCAGCAGTTTAAATCTTATGCGTACGTAGTGATTTATGTTCTGTTTATGTTTATGTTCTCTCTTGTTGTCAAGAGATGGCGTTTGCAGGGGCTAGGTGACTCCATATTACCGGAGAAGAAATGATTGTTCACGCCCATAGTTTTCAGTTTAACTAACAAAATGCTGAGTTTAACTAACATTGGCATATATAAAAACTTATAAAATTAAGGATCTGCCCTGTTTGGTGGGAGTTTAGCATATACGAGAGCCTACGTATTTAAGCTTAAAGTTAGGGATCTGCCCTATTTGGTTGCACATAGATAAGAACGTATTGAGTTCTACGCTATAAGAATCTATTTAATTGTACGGTTCCACGGAAAAGTTCATATCTACTTTTCTATTCGATATAGACAAGTGTGAGAATGACAAAATCGCACAATAATGAAACTAATTATAAGTTACCTAAGATAGAGAAATTAATTGTTTAATATATTTTTTTAGAGAGAAAAAGGGAAGATTCCCTTTCAAACGATTATGGGTTAGTGGAATGATGCAATAATTTTAATATTTTTTCATTTAGATCTAAAACTAATTCTTGGTAATTGGCATGTCAATTGTACTGACATGAATATTTTCTCACTGTCGCATGGAATTCATATTGTTTTTCCTCAGTACGCTGGTTTATGAGGTCATTTATTGTTGTAAAATATTATAAATACTTTTGTGATATTTCCTGATAGTAATCATATGAACAGAGAAGAATAAAAACGACATATAGAAATTTTTAATTTAGAAATCCATTAGGTTTTAATGCTTGGTACTTTTGGCCTACTGCATAGCTTACTTTAACGTGATAGCCATTTAAATGGTAAATTTTATTATTTATTTACACACATACTGTATTGAGCATAACGGAATCTCGCTTTATTATCGATATATGATTGGATTTGTCAAATAATATTTTGAATAAAGATTATATACGTTGCTCAACCAATATTAGTTATACTTTTCTATCTTTATAAGACGATATCCAGTTATTCTCCTAGTATTAACAAAGATGAACAACGTATAAAACAAAAAGAATAATGCGGAATAAGTCGACGAATTTAATAAAAAATACCAAACTTTAACAATGCACAATTTTTAAATCAATGCAGTGGATTCCTGGATTTCAAACCGTAATTCCCAGACGCAAAATCGTTACATCTTGCTTCCATTTATCAAATTCCGGAAACATTATATAATTGTTTGAAAAGATTCTTTGCATAATTGCACACTCGTGCAGTCATCACTATTACGAAGGGATTAGGTTCCCCTGACGTATGGGTGATCGCCTGGGACTCCGTGTGGCGTTGGCGAAGCGCGCTGGGCCTGCCGCGCCCCCCGTGGGTTTCGAGCTTGGGCGCTTGGTGGCTCAGCGCCTCGGGGCCGTCAAGCAGTCTGGTAGGGGAACCGGGCTGCCTGGCACGGCGGCTCCGGCGACGAGGCGCGGTGTGACAATGGTCACACACCGCTCCATCAGCAAGATTATATACGTTGCTCAACCAATATTAGTTATACTTTTCTATCTTTATAAGACGATATCCAGTTATTCTCCTAGTATTAACAAAGATGAACAACGTATAAAACAAAAAGAATAATGCGGAATAAGTCGACGAATTTAATAAAAAATACCAAACTTTAACAATGCACAATTTTTAAATCAATGCAGTGGATTCCTGGATTTCAAACCGTAATTCCCAGACGCAAAATCGTTACATCTTGCTTCCATTTATCAAATTCCGGAAACATTATATAATTGTTTGAAAAGATTCTTTGCATAATTGCACACTCGTGCAGTCATCACTATTACGAAGGGATTAGGTTCCCCTGACGTATGGGTGATCGCCTGGGACTCCGTGTGGCGTTGGCGAAGCGCGCTGGGCCTGCCGCGCCCCCCGTGGGTTTCGAGCTTGGGCGCTTGGTGGCTCAGCGCCTCGGGGCCGTCAAGCAGTCTGGTAGGGGAACCGGGCTGCCTGGCACGGCGGCTCCGGCGACGAGGCGCGGTGTGACAATGGTCACACACCGCTCCATCAGCGGTGGTATTAGGCGCGCGGGGGAGGCCCCGTTGCGACGCTCACAGCGGTTCCCGGGCCTCTCTCGATCGCAGCCGGGACGGTTATCATGGAGGTTTTAGTCTGTTGGAGTCCGACACTACTACGCCGCTTTCCCCAGAAGCGGCCTGGCGTCCGTGCAGATTTCCTCCACGTAAAATATAAAAAAAAAGTTCCCCTGACGCACTGAGAAGCTCAACGGACCGCCGCGATTGAGTGCTGTAACATGATGCAGTGTCAGATATCGTTGAGACAATGTATCTAGGTACTAATTTAAAAGTGAAACTTTTTATTTTTGACTTTTTAAAATTATATTTTTACTTACGTATTTGTGAGACCTGTAAGAGGGTTCTGCATATAAGAGGTCATACCAAACAGCTCCCTTGTTTTCTCGGAATTTATTTAACTGCAAAAGTTTAGTTCAATTATATGATAAATTCCCTCATTTTGAATTAATAACAGGTCTTCGCAATCAGCATTCTGTGGAACATAATCATTTCAAAGTTTGTGGGAGGGAGGGCGAGGGAAGTTCCATTCTATGTATTTAGGTGAAATTGTAGAAGCGTACACTTGTGAAAAAGTATCCTGACTGGTTTAATCAAGAAAATCCATGCTACGAACTTGCCGTAACATAATAATTGTATTAAGATCGAAAACAAGTTTGCAATTGCTACAAAAAGTAAAAAATTACAAGTTATTAAAAACTTATAAATGTTTGGAAAAAGATGTTAATAGTAGTGTTTTTTTATATTTTATGTAACTGTTTTTCAATTGAAAGTTATTATATTTTTAATTTCTTTTCTATTACGAGATCATAACTTTTAAACAAAATTGCAGAAATATTTCCGATATTGTTACTATTATTTGTCACTAAGTGATACATATAATACTTCAGTTATTCGTCTCGATAGTCACAGCACATCATATTTCACAGCTTGATGAGTTATATAAATAAAGTAAGATTACAGTAATTATTATTTAAGATTACGTATTGTATTTTCGCAAAGATATATTCAAATGAAATTTTTGTTCAGTTATCGGATATTTTCTACTTCCTCGTTCGTATTGAGTCATGTTTCTCATGCGTTTTATAATTGTCAATTAAGACATTTTTTTATTATATCTCAATTTTACTTGTGCTATTTAAAAACAAGTACTATTTTTTCTAGATGGGGATAATATTGATTGCCTTTTCATTGATGCCTTTTGTTAGCTAATATATTTATTAAGGTTCATAAGCGTTAAGGAATTGAAACAAAATCCGACTTGTGCTCGAATCGCACGTATTGTGGTCTCGAGTGTGTAACAACGTAGCCGCTGTTGATTATTGCGATTGTTAGGCGATCCTTCCTTCGATCTTCTTTTGTTTTTTCTCTTTCTTTTCCTTCTTCTCTTTCGAGTCGTCGAGCAAGCAACACGCGCTTATCGTCTTTGTCCCTCGCTAATTCTAATCGTTTTACCGCTACACCTCCTTCCAGATTCAGCTATTATAGCTTCCGTACTTATCGCGATTATTATTATGTCCGGAGTGTTTGATAGAGTGTCAAAAATTGTTAATAAAGAAACTTTCCTTGTCTTTTTCTCGTCAGGATAGTTCCAGCTATTCAACTTAATTGTCTCGTCTGTAACAATAAGTAATAATTGTTGAAATTATAATGAACACAAATTCATTTCAATTAGGAAAATTGAATGTTAAATTTATGTTTCACCTCGCTTCTACCTCTACAATAAATACATTTGGCCAAATAATCAATAAAAAATACACATTAAATATAACGCGTCGTTAAAATTTTTATTATTATTTTTCAGATTATTGTATACATATGTTAGTGGCAATTTTCGAGAAGATATAATGACAGGTAGCCGCCGCAATTTAGCCTCACCATAAATTATGACTGAACTGAGAGCTCTGTATGAACCTCAGCAGGCTGCTAGAGTGAATATTTGGTAAGTTAATAGCCGACGGCTCAAAGTCGCCGAGTTATGAGATATCGATCATGTGACTGTTTAGAGGATGCGTGAGATAGCTTACCCATGACAAACGACCCGACTTTGCATTGCTAAAGGATAGAGACATTATTCGAAAATAGGCTAGCCACGGAACAGGAAAGGCAGTGATGTCCTTTGATAAGCGAACTGTGAAAGACTGCACGACGCTTACCCTAGTACCTTGGCGAATTATAGATCCCGTGCATTCTAAAAATATGACTATCTTTATAACATCAAAAACGGGATTAGTGAGCCTAACGTGCGAACTTGCGATACTCGTGACAGTACACTAATGCTTCAGATTGTGTGCTGTGATTTAATTCATTCCGTGGATTCATTTATCGTGTACTTGTGTTAAACAAATTGAAATGGAAAATTACGTATCCAAGTCGAGGATCTGGTGTGTCGTATCCTGGATTGCATTGGGAATGGCGCAGCAGCAGAGTACTCGAGGGCGTATTAACCATCGCGGCTTTGTCACCTGTGGTTGCGTTACCAGAATTCAACGAGGAGGATATTGGCGATATCTCGAATACGTGATGCGATTCGATCCAGAAATTAACGGGAAGCGTACCGCATCAATGCTTGGAATGCGCACGTACCCATGTGCTTTCAGGCTCCGTAAAAAGTGATATCGCGGGTGGCAAGACCGACTTTGTACTTGGGAGAAATTTCGGGAGGACCTTTGCACGATAAAAGAAAAAAGTCGGAAAAGAATCGAATGATGCATGCACTACAGTGTACTAATGATACTGCGAGGAGCTACGTTAATTGTATCCGTATGAAACCCGAATATTTGAAGCAGACCAAAGTCACCTTTACAGAAGCGAAAATAACAGAATTAGTGATAATTAAGAATATTAAGCGCGAGGTATAAGTTGACGGTAAAGCTCTTAATCAGAATCGTCGAATTGAAGAAAGTTAGTATACAGAACGAAGACAATCGCCAGACGGAAAAGGCACGACTGCAACAAGAATGGAAGCAATGTTACATATGCGATGACGGCGCATACAATGAGCCATGCTCAAAAAGGCGACGCGATGATCGAGGTCGCAATCCACAGAAACCTAGCCCTCAAAGGTAACATTCGGCGCCAGCAATGAAAGGTGTTCCTACTTGCACTTATAGCTCTAAAATTGTTTGACGATATTTGGCCGGTTGGCGAAAACCGTTATCATATACATCTGTATGAGTGCGTTTGTGTGTTCAAGCCTAAACCGTGCAAAACTGAGGTAGTGCAAAAACTGCTTAGGCACGAGTTCGCCGACCGACAGTAAGTAACAAAAACGCGAAAGCCCGCTGAAAATAGAATAAACAGATAAGTCGACGACATAAAAGGAATTTATGTCGATTCTTCCCCGATGCTAGTTAGATTCTCCGAACAGAGATCGTATTTGTAACGTCTATGAATTCTTGTGCATGACCTACGGTCTCACTAACATAGTGGCTGTATTTCAACGAGCGATCAGCACCGCCTTAAGAAATCTAAAAAGTAAGATAGCTTTAGTATATTTAGACGATATACTAATCCCGCCAGAAACAATAGAGAAAAAATACGAGTATTTAAAGCAGGTTTTGCATGCATCGATATAGTGGGGTTCTTACCAAATTTGAAAAAATATGTTTTTTTTAAAAACTACATCGAATATTTGGGAAAGGGGATATCGACTGAGAGTATTAGACCTGGAACAGGGAAGGCGCCGTCCTCTGCAACGTGAAACAGATACGACAATTCATGGGCTTTGCAAGCTATTTTTGCAAGTTTATATCTAAATTCGCTATAAGCAGTAACTCCGTCTACTCAAATATTCCATGTCGCGATTGTCGATATGTTGTTATGGATTTTAATGAGTAGGCAGCTATAATGTTTAAATCTATGATTTTTCTTATAAAACGTTGTGCAGAATGGTTTACGTCTTTAAATGTCATAATCTTCTTCTCTAGATATCTAAGTCAAGCTGCTGCCATGTATCGTTCGATTTGACGATCCCTGTGCACCCCGCACCTTAGGCTGACCTACTTTCGCTCATGTAAGGCGTGCAAGAATATTTTGGTTGATTTTTAATTGTCAATAACTACTAAAAAACACAGCCGAAAACGCAAATTTTGTATTCCTTATTGTTACCCCATTTCGGCTTCAAGAATAACCCCTTAAGTTTGTGTATACCTGTAGCCGAACACCTTGTATATAATCGACGGTTGGGCTTAGCTTTGAGATATTCACAAAAGACTACCAATGCCACTATAGTGTACTTCTTCCCATAGTTGTGCGTCTGTGGCAATGTATGCGTCAATATTGGCTGCCGGCTGCCGGCCGCTTATCTTCCGTTTATAGACGAGGGTTGTGCGAACTGAAGGCTGCGTGCGCAAGTGCATATGCGAGGCTGTAAGAAATGTCTGTTATAATATATAACGAGATTTAGAGGATTAGAAGAGGATATAATCCAATGCATTGGGTTATATTTTTCAATCCGGTTGTCGCGAGGCGGCTGGTTACGCTTGCATAAAATAATAGAAAATTAATTATAACTATAGGAGGCGAGTAAATAATTGACATTATTTTACCAAAAGAATAATAATTCTTATCAGTTTACGTAAGCGTTGCCAACCGCCTGGCGGTGGCATGATTGAAAATATTAATCTGAACAATATAAACTCAATACATGATGATATTCATTTTTTATTGAGTTATAACAGAGATCTCTTATAGCCGCGCATATGCACGTTGTGTACGAACCTTCATTTCGGATATCCAAGCTCGTCCCATCTTCGTTTGTATATATAAACGAATAATTTCGAACAAGTGATTTTATGTGGTCACTCGATTCTACATAGAATCCTTCGTACTAATAGTTCTTTGCAAATATCTCGGAAACTGAGGTTTATTATCGGTTATATGAAAAAATTATTCAAAATGTTGCTTTCTATAACATATTTTAAAATCATCGAAATCGGAAAGAACGTAACATTTCTATAAGTTTACCATATAAATTTATATGTTTCATAAACTTCATTAATTGTAAGGATGAATATACAGTTTTTGAAAAGAATATTTAGATTGTAATTTTAATAAACAATCATAATTGTACTCTTTTGACTTTAGATTTACACAGGCGAAAAGAAGCAATATGCATAACTTCTATTATTAGTTTCAAACAAAATTTGCAATTAATGCAATTCGAAAAGACACTATTTTTAATGAAAATATATAATAAACTTTGTAATGTTTATTATGTGATTTTAATTTAATCAATTCTTGAATTTTATAGTTACACTGTGTATATTTCGTAAAGGAAAAGAGGTCCTGTTAGGGATACACACGAAGGAGAGAGAGATTGTAAGAAGAATACCATAGGTCAATCCTACATTCTAAACGTGACGTTTTCACTTTCACATTACCAGTATTGTTGTGAACGAGAGGTACCAGCAATAGTAGCATTATATCAGTGAGTTTATAATTTTCGTAAAAAAGTATTTTTAATTTCATTTTGAAATTATGACAATGATCCAGTTTAACTGGATTTGGAAAATTATTATCCAGTATATAATGCTTATTCTGCACACTCAGCCTGAGATAGTTGTAAGTAATTAAATGTTAGGTTGTGTAACATAAGTTTTGTTAAATCTATAAAAGTTGAAGTTATTCTTTTTTACATACGTAAATACTTTATTTGGTGTTGTTTAAAAAATGTTAATGAAACCGTAACTTTTTGTATTCAAATAAAGATATGTATTTAAATTGTTAAAATAAAATGAAGTTAAACTAAGCTTGTGTATTCAAAAAAGATTTTTTGAGATTCGTAAGAAACGACAAATATTTCGATGAATGAAATTGTTGAAATACATACACTAATTAATATGTTTCAAATGCATTAATGAAAATTATTTTAGTCTGACACAGTTGAATTGATTATGAACAATATTTTACAGTATTTAAATATTTGATACAATATTTAAATCAAAATGTTGATTCAAAATAATTGGTATAAATAGATTAATTAGTAATCTAATCTAATCTAATAATAATAAGTAAGTGTACAATAGAAAGACAATAAGGAAATATAACAATAATATAATAAGATAAACCTCTTGATAAATAAAAGGATAGATAAAAGGATAGATATAATGATAATTTTTTCCCAAGATTCATGGTATTATGACGTATTAAAGATAAAGATATTAACAAGCATTAATATTAAGTCATTGAAAAATTGAATCTTATTTTAAACATATGTAGGTAAATCAATATAACTCGATATTTGAAATAAGATAAATAAAGATTAAGTGATTATAAGAATTATCACTTGATTTTATACATACGTAAATATGTATATGTATATATATGTATCAAATGTATGCCCGTGCGCGCACATACACATACACACCTGGTCTATTATTTGTACATGTTATATATTGCTTTTAAAAATAAAATAGGTTATTAAGTTTTCATATACATACATATATGTATGTACTATGCTTATTGTTAATCACTACACTAAGGAGATGAATTATATTTATAACATTAATTTGAAATAAAAATACCAATTACAGTAAATGGATACAAAACAATTTTCATTATCTTTAAAATAAGAATTTATTGAAATTCAATATAGGTACTTATAAAATCGTAAAAAATAAAATATTAAGATTTTTAATATGATTGTTTATATATGCCTAATTTATTTGCAAAGTTTGGTTCATTATTAAGAAATAAATAAATTTTATAAAAAAATAAAACATATGATGAAAAAGAATAGTAGTTTTAAACATTATAGTAATATTTGCTAAGTATTTCAGTAACAGATATTAATTAAAATTTGATGAAAAATCTGATTTTTATGTTTTTCAGAATACGGAGAGGTCTATGAAAACAATATTTTCATGTTTAAACCGAACTGCTGGTTTTTACGCAGATATTAATGCTGGTTGTAAGATATATCACACTTGTGATGAATATGGAAATAAATTCACTTATCATTGTCCTGAGGAAACTGCTTTTCGACAAGATGCTCTGATATGTGACCATGCTCATCTTGTGCAATGCCAAGGAAGTATTATTTCTAGTACAAAAGAATATATTAAAGAAGAAAAGGACAATAGTTCTGATACAAAACACTTAATACATAACGATCAATCCCTTTTTCATTTTTTTTACACAACACAACCAACAAACACAAGTAGTAAAGAAAGACACGGATTTGTATTTAATTCAGGACAAATTTTTAAGAATTTTAATGAGGCAGAAACAACTGGAAGGGATATAATAAGCTCATTTTATCCATTAAGTTATATTAATTATACTACAAATATTCCTATTGATCATTCTATAAATACACAATCTATGCGTATAATTAGTCAATATAATGAAAATGGATTAAGACAAAATGAAAATTTTTCTACTCCCAGTCAAAGCTTCCATGAGAAGGATAAACTTAATGAAAAACTAATAAGAATGAATCAAAAAGGTTATTTATATCAAAAAGTAAGTGATGCTTTATACAATTTTCTAAAATTACCTTCAAATACATTTTCTGGAAGTAATCAAACTCAGGAGAATAATGTAAAAAACTATCAATCGACAAAGAATCCTATTGACTTTTTAAAATTATCATCTATAAATTATAGGAATTATCCATATTTAGAAACTTTGAAATCTATACAAAAGAATACAAAAATGATTTCTACTACAGTTCATAGTACAACAGCAAGTATGACTCTATCTACTACAGAAATACCTGTGTATGCTTTAACATTGTCTTTAAAACCTTTAATACCAAGCGAACTAGAATATGATCCATATTATCCAAAATTCTCAACAACAACACAACCTTATTATACTTCTACGCAGAACCTAAAAGAATGGTCTACTCAAACAGTGCGGTCAACTACTCATCTTGAACTTCCGGCAGTTTTACCAGACTTAAATTCTTTGGATGACATTGTTGATCGCAGAAAGTTACTTTATATTCCTCGAATTAAATTAAATTAATGTAATTATTATTTTGACAAATCTCTGTAACTAGATATATGAATTTTGCAAAATTATTTATTTTGTTTAATTTCAAAATAAGTTAAAATAAGTTAATTATATAAAAATGTTAATAAAATCAAATAAAATAAATTATTTATATACCAAAAGTTGGTTTGTATTTGTTTATAAATATTTTCTTATAAGAACAATGCAATAAATGAAATAAGATAAGTATTTAATCAAATATTAAATTCTATATTATGTAGATTACTTGTCTAATTGTAAAACATTAAATTAAGGATGTTTTAAAATCATGCAACAAAATTATAAATGTATCAAAAAGATACATCCAATATTATAATATGTATGTTAGAATGTCATAAATTTTCCAATGTTATAAATGAATAAGATATCTAAAATGTCTTCATTAGATTTACAGGTACTGCTTAGTTGTTATTATTATAACTATATTTATTATAACTTACTTTTAACTATTAACTAACTTATAATTTTTGAGAAGCTGTACTAGTACAATATTTCTATTACAATTTACTTTTACATCATACAAGAAAGTATATTTTGCAAAATCACATGTCTGTAGATTGGTAACAGAGTTGACAGAATTTGACAATAAAATCATAGTCATCTGCCATCGCGTTTAGCGGCTGTTTTGCAGACAGAATTTATTTGATAGTTCGAGTTCGAGTTTACTTTTTCTCTTGGATTACGAACTAATTTTCAAAAAATGGTGTTTTCAGAGATTATCTGTTTCTATTTTGTCCAATGTAAAACATTCGCTGCATTAGCCATTTCCTGTTCACGAACTTTGCTGAAACTGTAGAAAGGCTGACTATTTTGCAACTTCGATAATTTTTGAATATATTATAGAAATTAATATTTTGGATAACTTCTTCCTATACACGAGGGTGAGCTCGCTTACTTTTCAAGATATTTGCTAAGAACTATCATTACCATTGCAGCAAATTCTGCTTGTAGTTGCATGACTGTAGTAACATATGCGTCAGTATTGATTGCCGGCCGCTTATCTTCTGTTTATAAACGAGATCGAGCGAGCTTAAAGACCTCGTGCGCAATGTGCATATGCAAGAAATATCTATTATAATTTATAATTCAAGTAAGAGTGAATATCATCAATGTATTGGGTTAGATATCTCAATTCGGCTGTCGCATGGCAGCTAGCAACGTTTGCATGAGACAGTAAAAAATTAATCATAAAAATAGTAGGAGAATAAATAATTGATAATATTTTGTGAAAAGGATAATATTATTTTAAGCAAATGTTTCCGGTCACCTCGCGGCGGTCAGATTCAAAAAACTAACTAAAACGTAAACCTAATACATTGACAATAGTCATTTTTAGGTGAATTATAAGATATCTCTGGCAGCTTCGCATATACACATCGTCCACGAGAGCTCTAAACTCGCACAATCACATTTATAAATAGAAGATAAACGGTCGACAGCTCGCTATCACTAATGAAGCATACATACGTCGCCACAAATGCCATCTAGAGACAGAATTCACTGTAATGGTACCAGCAGCTTTTCGCGAACTTGTAAACTAAGCGAGACTAGCCCTTATTTGTATAGAAAAAAAGAAAATGTTATAGAAAAAGGTATTCAGAATGTTGAGTTTTACAATATATCCAAAAGTCATCGAAGTCGGAGTAGTTGACCTTTCAGCAGTTTCATTCTTTCTTTTCTTTATTTTTGTATTCATTTTTATTATTTTGTTTTTCGGTTCAAATTTATAGTATTATTGTTGCTTTTATGAAATACCTCTGTCTCTTATTCTACATTTTATTTTATTTTATTAATTGTATCACATTTCCTTCTCATGCTTGCTATTCCTATTATTATATCTATTTTAGCTATTTACATTATCATAAACTATCAATTGCCAATAACAGTTATAGAAATAACTAATTCTATAATTTCATACTTTTCATGTCCAGCTTTTCTCTTATTAAATAGCTTTTTAAGAATATATAATCATAAATGTACCGAAATATAAAAATGTATGTAGAACATGTATATATAGAACATGTATATATATAGATTTTCCTTAACTTATATATAAAATACAAAAGCTATGAACTTTTATTTCTACAGATAACATTTATCACATTGGGTACTTATACCACTACTAATAATCTTCTTTCCTATTCACATTTCTTACTCTCTTTGTTAGAGCACTCACTCTTATCAAATTGCTTAATCATATATATCTATTATGTTTGGTTCAATATCATGTCTTATGTTGATTGTATTCGTATTATTTTTTGTATGCTATTATTTATTTGGTTTATTCATTTTCACTTATTCTCGCATCCTAATTTACGTACGTTTCTACATGAGTGCGGGTACGTCTTTTTGATATTAATTTGCATATTTTTTTGTCTTATATATCTGTTGTATTTTTTCAGGTATCGTGTGTTGTACCTTGTTTTGCTATTCTTAGTTACTATTTTCTTTCCGATTATATGTTTCCCTTATATGTTTTCAGTGAGCCTGACTTTCCTTATTATAAATCATAGGTCTCTTCCTCTGCGGATCTTAGAGGTAGACTTATCTTTCCTTACTTTTATGTGATTGTTAAAGTTTATTCTATCCGTTTCCTTGAGTCAAGTTTCAGTAACTCGCAATATATCAATATTATTTATGTAGTTCTTAAATTCCATTATTTTACTTTAATAAATTAAATTCCGCTGTTTTATCGAATGAGTTCATTGGTTATGTTTGTAACTTGAGGTTATGTTTTGTTTCGTAATGGTAGGTTAGTGACATACCACATTGTTTGTGTTACGTCGGGCGACACTCTACCTAGACCACATACCGCGTGCAAGATGGGAACCGGATGTCCGCTCATCCTTACTGCGTACCCTCAATAGTCTTAAGGAACCATCATAAATCTCAGGAATTTGCTAGCTAAGGTCCTTCAGACCGAACAAACATCTTTTTTTACTGAATCGTTTCTAAAGCTTATTGTTTACTACTGGAAGACACGGAAAAGTTAGTTTTTCTCACGTATGATACTTCACATTAGCAACTTTCCATCGAGGGCGGCTAAGACCCTTCCTAGTCCACCAACTTTCGTTTATCCAATCATGAGCAATGTCTACTGCCCTCACTTTCCTAACCAAAATTGTCATCAACAAATCCGATGGTCCCTTGCGTTAGACACGTCCATCACTAGCTTCCCTCCGACACAGCATCGTCACTTTACCTTACTTATTCTTCATCGTTAGAATAGTCAACATGTCATTATCGGGTTTCTATCCTTAAATCAATCACTTATTTAACTTATACATATGTATCAGTGTAATTATCTTCTTTACAAAGTTGTTGGAATAAACATTAATTTATACCTGTTAATTCAGTGTAACCTCAATTGAACCCCTATTATCATAACAGAAATCAGGGGATCGATCAGTTCGTAGCGTCGATTATCTAATCGTAACGGAAATTTATGACTCCCATTGATGTGCTTTCTCGCGTTTGCGTCTCTCCGCGAATGGTCGAAGAAACAGTTTGAATTGTTGCTTTTTATTAGTTAAATTAAATTAGTTGTCTTTGTACCTTAGGATGCTGGTCTGTTTCTGCATTTTCTGTTTTCGTTAATTTATAATTCTTCTTCGATAAGTTCTACAACTTCTTCAACATTCTCATGTTTAGATGTTGATATATTATCCAAATCTTTCGCCTGGTTCTTTGTTTCCTCCTATTTGTTCTTGAAGTCCTTAAGTTCTGATTCGAAAGCCAGGGTTTTTGAACGCTCTTTCAACTGTCTGACTTTATGTTTTTTTTTATTCCTTTTATTTCTTCTTTTCTTTCCCTCGCCACTTTTGATTTAACTTTGTCCGTAATGAATATTTCAAATTCGTTGTTGTGTACGACATACCAGTCCTCATCCAGGCTTGGTAGGAGGTATTTCTTCCCTGTTCCTTTCTTTTTTAATATGCTTGTAGCGGCACAAGAGTTAGAATTTGATTCAAATCATGTTGTTGTGCTTCGGAGTATCAAGACCGTTAGGTCACAGGTATTGTAAGGAGTTATGAACTCCGAGCAAAACAATGCCGCCGCTACATGTAACCGTAAAACAAGACGAATTTGAATCTTTTGACCTTCTCCTGACGATTATAAATAAACGAACGTGATCGCAAACGATTCAGTATAAACTGTGACTAAACGACTGTATACATACCATTTCGCAACAAGATCTGTTTTAAATACATTAACGATTACACATATTGGTAGTCTCATTATTCGATCTCCTACATGCTCCTTTATTCTGTTTTCTATCTTTTTTCCATTATGAGTTCTATTAATTTTTGTAACATCTCCTCGTCTATCTTGCCTCTGGAAGTCTCTTCTACTTGTTCTTCTCTCTTTTTTTATTTATTTATTAAAATTACAATCAACTCTCGCGTTGAGAATTTTCAGTAATTTTTCTGGCGTGGCGCAGTGACATGGCTGATTAATGGTCACCTTGACAGTGGATGTATTTCGCTGGGGTTTCCGGTGATATAGCGCACTGGTCAGTGGAGCGAGTGCCTGCACATTTAACGCAGCGGAAGGTATGGTTGCAGTATTTCTGCGTGTGACCGTACCTTTGGCACCTTTTGCATTGCGCTATTTCTTTTTTCACAAGCGGTGGTTCGAATTTTACTATTGATTTCATTAGGCGACTGATATTGTAGATTTCCTTATTGTTAGGCTTTTGTTTTATCTTGAGGTCGCGGTGTATTGTTTCATTGGTTACATACCAGGGTGCATCAATTAGGGATCTTAGCGTTTTCGATTGGAAGCGTTGGAGTATTTCAATGTTGGAGTTACTTGCTGTTGCTCATAGTTGGATTCCGTAGGTCCAGACAGGTTTTATTACGGTCTTGTGGAGGCTAATTTTGTTCCGTGTGCTTAGGTTGGATCGTCGGCCCGCGAGCCAATAGAATTTTTTTTAGTTTGTCCTTTAGTTGCTTCGTTTTATCTGAGATGTGTTTCTTCCACGTTAGTCTCCTGTCCAGGGTCATGCCCAGGGGTGATGTGGTGGTGACCTGGGGGGATTTGTTTCCGGAGCGTGAAGGTTACATGTGTGGATTTTTTTTCGTTGATTTTGAAGCCCCATTTATGAAACCACTTTTCCATGGAGTCGAGACATCGCTGGAGAGTGGATGAGGCAATCACTCTCTCTAAGGACTTGATCATTGTTTGTATGTCGATGACGTCATCCACAAATATTGGTGGGGGAGGGTGGATTCTCTGTGATTGTTGGTTTGGCGGCAGGTCTGCGATTTCCATGGCGTCGTTAGTGGATTGCAATACGGCGAACCAAACATTGTTATTTCGTTTGATATAGGTAAGTCGGCAGTGTAGACGGAGTACAGTAGGGGTCCGTTGGGTGTTTGGTTGGTTACCTCTTTTGCTCTGAGTTGAGGGTACCTGTTTGTGTATAGGGTTTTATAGGCTGAGCAGCCTTTATAGTTGGCAGAATGGTCACCTTGACAGTGGATGTATTTCGCTGGGGGTTCCGGGGGTTTTGCGC